CCCATGGAACTGTGGCCCTCTGATCTTCAACGCATAACGGCTTCATCATTCGTGCCCTTACGCTGGGGTTTATTTCGAACTGTAGCCGAAGATCCACCCGTAGAAATTCGTAAATCATCCAACAATGTCCTATATTTACCTCTTGATGTCCTCATGGATGCGGTGCAGCCTGCACGAACTAGTGTCAAACAACCTATTGCCCCACAATAATCCTCACGCACATACCGCCTTATGTCTAGAGTGTCATGGCCTGGGGATTAGGGAAAAGCTATTTCGGCGCGATTAACAACGAGAAAAGCCTTACGACCTGCTGTCTAGAGACAGCCTGAGACGCTGCACTTCGGCCTCGTTCCCTTATAGTCGTCGGCCAGACTCACAAATCTGGGGAAAGCACCGATATTATCCAGATGTTATGGGTCTGTTCCAGAATTTGTGATATATGATAGCCAGATCCGGCACGTTGATAAATGCAGCATCCGTTCTGTATCAATCAGCCAATCAAACGAGTGTGTCCTATTTTCCCTTACCCAACTCTCCCCGAACTCCAACAAAAGTAGGAGAACGCACGGTCAAATCTGAGAGGATGTGATTCACGGACAGTTTGTGATTTGCAGCCAAGCCTCGAACGCCAAGGGTCACGAAACCTAAGCCTTGGACATCCGCGACGCGGCCAAAACATCAAACTCCGATCTCCAAACGTAACGAAACAACCCCGTTAACATCCCTCTGGCATCGCCAATGATATGCCCGTATTAACACCGACCGTGCGCCTGGCGGTCGAACCACTCGTCCAGATGTGTGACGATCTAAACCAGAAGTATCAGACGACTCTGATGCACACTGCTCGTGAGCAAGTGTGACAAGAGAGACTCCGCAAAGAACAAGCTGCCAAGTGTTTGCGGGTTTTGCGTTTATTTTTTAGCTTTCCAAATGCAATGCGATCTCTTTGCTTCTCCAGAGTCTTAGCAGTTACATGTTGTCCAAGTCGGGTTCGGATGTGGCATACAAATGGTCACGAAGCCCGTCCTATTCCATTCTCATTCCTCGAGCAGGCTCCACTCGACTTCCAATCACTGTCCATCATTTCCTCACATCCTCGCTCTCTTTGGACGTAATAGTCCGCTTTACTTCGTCCAATCTTTTCCAGTATATATTTATCATTATGAAGTACATAACCCTCTCCTCCGTTCTTTTCTCATCTGCTGCTTTTGCGGCTCCTTTTGCCCAACGTGCAGGCGGCAACACCGGGGGTGCTGGTCGAGCTGGCAATGGCAACGGCAACACTCCGCTCCAGAATGCCCCTCAGCAAGGAGCGGGTGCAGGCAACCAGGCTAATGCCGGGGCCCAGGGAGCGACACCTTCACAACAGCAACTTGCAAACGCGGTCGCAAACTGGCAGGCTGATACCTCCATTGTCAGCAACTTTCAGAATACTGGAGCTGCGATCATGAACAATGTGGCCTTCAAGCAAGCTGCCAAGGTTGCCTTCGATGCTGAGGTCGACGAGCTTGTTCACAAAGCCATCATCGACAGCGCTGTCGGTACTGACCCAAACGTTCAGGCCGCAAATAGTACGCTCGTTACTGGAGGAGCATTCCAAGATGTCGTCGATAAGCTGCAGGAGATGTCTGTCAAAGGGCGAGCTGCTGTAGCGAACATCGACTTGATCAACCAAAACAGATGTGTCAATGGTATGACCCCATACTCCTGTCATCGGTGAAGTCTTGTTGACCCTGTGCAGTCTTGCCAAATATTGACGCCTATTTCACTGGTGCTGGTACCAATAAACAGGCTATTCGACCTACGGTCTGCGACGACACTGGTGTCGCTGGCGGAGTCCAGGGCGCAGGCCCCACCCTGCCAGGCCAAGAGCCAGGAACTCCACAAAAAGCTTTTGCCGCCGCAGCTCAACTTCAAGGCGGTGGTGTCGGCCAAGGCCAGGCAGCTCAGGGCCAAGGTCAGGCTCAGGGACAAGGTCAGGCTCAGGCTGGACAACAAGCTGCGGGAGGTCAAGCTCAGGCTGGGCAAAAAGCTGCAGGAGGCCAGGCTCAGGCTGGGCAACAAGCTGCAGGAGGCCAGGCTCAGGCTGGGCAACAAGCTGCAGGAGGCCAGGCTCAGGCTGGGCAACAGGCAGGGCAGCAGGCCGCCGGAAACCAAGCTCAAGCCGGTCAGCAAGCTGCCGGTGCCCAAGATCAAGCCGGACAAGCCGCTGGTGCTCAGACTGGTGGAAAAGCCGGAGGAGCTCAGGCTCAAGCAGGACAACAGGTGAATCCTAAGGCTCAGGCGGGAGCAAATGCGGGAGCTGGTGGAAAAGCCGGAGGAGCCGGTCAACGGGCTGGTGTCGGTGCCGGTGCCAAAGCCGGAGCCGGAGCCGGAGCCACTGGAGCTACTGGAGCTACTGGAGCTACTGGAGCTACTGGTGCAGGTGCCAAAGCTGGAACTGGAGCCACGGGAGCCACGGGAGCTACCGGTGCGACTGGACAAGGTCGAGCAGGAGGCCAACGGGCCAACGCGGGAGCTGCGTAAGTTCAAAGCTACCGTACGTGGGATACGGGCACAGATGGGACGAGGCCATGTGCTGGTTCGCCGCTTCGTGCTAGGCCATCTGTCGTTACCCCTCGACGTCAGAGTAATAGTGGGACTGTCAATTAACTTGCTCTGATACATGTGTATGAGATATGAGAGGATGTTTGTAGGATATTTGGCTTCTGGTATTGCATGCGGGTGACTCACTATACTATGTATGGTTCACGGAGAACAAGGTGTCTGGGCGGAGGTCGCTAGACCCTTCTTCCAACTATTCCTGAGGCAATATGTAATAGATAATGGTAGTGGAGTACTTGACGTTGAAACAAAGCTAATGATACCATGATACCATGTTAAGATGAAAAGATGACAGGTCGTGACCCATCTGGAAGGCTACAGTAGAAAGGCATATACAAAGAGAGACACACGTCTCACAACTACACGCCTCTCATCTCAATTGGACTAGCTCACCCTGAGTATTAGGGCTGCGGATTTGTTATACTAGAGGCTGCTGACGAGTGGCTTCCGAAACACGATCCAAAAATCCTGCTGGGTCCTCTCCAGCAATGGGGTAAAACTTTAGAACGTCATCTAGAGTAACTGCCTTGTATACTTCCTTGTGAAGCATTCGCATAAAGCTGAGACCCCTTGCCAGGATTTTCAAAAGGTACTGTTTCAAGGGAGCAGTTATGAGCTTCATGGCTTTCGGACATCTCACATCTGGACATAACCTTGTGGTAGCGAGACGGTTTTCGTACCAATACATTGATTCATATTTGATGCACCCCATGATTTTGCCGGCGTCCTGAGCCTTGAAAGTTCGAATAATGGAAGGACTCAGCAGCTCGTCCATACGGTCGTCGTGCTTGCGTTTGAAATCAAGGACCCGTTGGTTGTGCTGACCAAAGTTCCCCCTGAAGCGGCGCTTGCTCTAGGTTGCTTCCAACTCGAACCAGTAGCGGGCAGGCAGATGCATCTGAGCTCGCGCGAGAGTTCAAACGGCCAACTGGATTGACGTCGATATAATAGTGTCGTCGACAAGCACTGGTCGAGTCTGGTCAACGTCTAGCATCGCGAACATAATTTTTCGGAGCTCCCCGCTAAATCTGGGAACTGTGACCCGCAACTCATTAGGCGACTTGAAGGCATCATTAGCCAACCAATGCCATAGAAGAAATGCCGCCCAGTCATGGCTGGGTTCATAACGGGTGCTAGGGATATTGTGAATCCGTTTCTCGTAGTCCTAACATCGCTCCTACTCTTCCATAAAGGTAACGGGAAAGACCACCAATTTATGAAAGCAGAGCTTGAGATCGTCCCACTCACCCATATGGAGATCTCGAGGCCGTGTAGAAGCATCTAGCCTCCGTTTCTCCTTGATCTGCGCGTCGGCGTTGAAACTGCGGCGGCAGATGGGGCAGTTCTGGGATTCAAGAAGGCTCTGAGCCAAACATGACTTTCCGAAGATGTGTCCGCAGATCGTCCTGACAGGGTCGTTGCAGTTTCGCCATATTTGGAATGGAAGCTCTCTCAGTAGAGTCAAGTTCTCGGGTTCTTCGGGATTTGGCTGGTCATACTCAGCTTCCTCAGTACCCAAATCCGTCCAGCAGTGTGGACAGCGCGTGTTCTCGACTGGGATTGTATCCATATCTACTTGCTCGAGTTTTTCGACGTAGGGGATGATTGAAAAGAGTGGAGCAGGCGTGCTCGATTTTGCTGCGAGGAGCAAAGATAAACTTGTCTTTCTTTGGTATGAACGCTGGAAATAGTCAAGAAGAGAGATTCAGATGTGCGCTTCACATTTATATCGGGAAACATGAGTGCTGTCTTGATGACGATGTTTTTTTCTGCACTGGTACGCGACAATGTTGAGGTGAGAATTGTGGCCTGCAGAACATAATGGAAGTCCTTGTATGGAGGAGGGGACGGTCAATGGTCGACCGCTTAGGTTTTGGGGATTAGTCCGCGCACAATGACTTTAAAGGCAAGTACGATTGCCCACAGCGTCGATGTTCCAGCATGGGCTGGAGATGTTTGCGCGAACGGTATTCAATAGCCAATTATACGTCCGGCAATCGTACAATATCGTATGCGTTGTGAGGTAGTCATATTTCGATGCCGCAAGGACTCCAATCCTTAAAAGTATCTGCCCGATTTCTCTGTTGTAGCTATTTGAGACTTTTATTTCCCCATCTCAATCCCGAAAACATACCATCATGGCAGTGTTTAGCCGCACAGTGTCGCATGCAGTTGGTGCACACATAGCCGTTTGCGCCTGTGAGCTTCGGCTATCGTCTCACACATTATATCGTGGTGGAGTCATTACTTTGTTAAGATTTTTATGGATCAGGCCTCGAGCGGGCAGCGAAAAGTGATTGGATGCGTAAGCTGCTGGTGGCGTCTCGGTGCAGCTTCGAATCTTTTTTTATCTAGCTATATTAGCTATTCAATTATGCAAAGAATTTTAATCCTTCGACAAGATGGCCGAGCGGTTAAGGCGTGTGACTCGTAAGCCTGCCCCCCGATTTGGCCTTGATGCACATTCTAACCTCCCACCAGAAGTGAATAACTTGCCATCTTTGATGGTTGATTTCTCATAGACGTTGTCTGCGTGGGTTCGAATCCCACTCTTGTCAACTCCATATATTTTGCACTTTTTTTTGGAAGTTCGCCCTAAATTCGGCGCTCTCTCCATGGCTGCGTTTTCTTTTTACCCCGCACGTCTAATTTACTGCATACGTTCCGTATGTGCGCGCGAAGTTTATGCAAGGATTAAGCCCGCGAATATGTATACGGAATTCTATCGACGCACAAACTTATACTATTCATCATCCTACGATAGGGTCTCGATTTTTGAGCATCTCACTCTCCTCGTTTTCAGGCATATTGATGAGTGCATTCCTGCTCCACGAAACATCACAGACTTACCTTGACGAGTACCAAATATCCCTATTCGGGGTGCCTACATGTCGCCTACCCTTGAGATCTCTTCCCCACTTAAATTTTCTTCTGTGGAGATATCCCCGCTTGCAATCGGAGGTCCAGGACCTGAGAAATGGACCTTCGCAATCAAATCCGGAACACGGCCGTCTTACTTTACACTCTAAAGAGATGCATGGAAGGAGTCATACAGGTTAGGGCGGAAAAAGGGCGGACTTCAAGGTGAGATTGGAGAAGTCTTCGATGACTCCCAATTATATGTCAGCATTGAAATGTGAGATCGAGTATATCCCATCCACCCTCGTCACAACACCTAGTTTCTCCCAACATATCTTCCCATGAGCCAAACGTGTATAAACCAACATTGATACACATTCCTTAGCCAGTCAACAAAAGGCAACAATGTCTTCATCAGCCGCCCCTCCATCCAATGACCCAACAATACCCTCAGATCTCAAGTCCAGAATCGCGAGCTCATATGATGCTATTGCCACAACCTACAACGCCTTCACCATCCAACACAATCCTATTCGAACTCACTACCTCTCACTCCTCCTCTCTCACCTGAACCTCCCAGGTCCTGTTTCACCCTCCCAATCATCATCCACACCCAAATCGGAAACAGAACGCACGACGGATGCCACGACCTCCAATGTCCGAATCGATATGCTCGAACTGGGCTGCGGTGCCGGAAACCTCAGCATTCCATACCTATTATCCGCTTCTCCCTCAATTCATATCCTGGGAAACGACATCTCATCAGCCCAAATCTCCCTAGCACGCACCAACATTCCACAGCACGAAAACTCGCGCGTCTCTTTCATCCACGGCGATATGACGACCCTCTCACTCACACCCTCGACTTACACAGCCGTTATTGCACTATACTCGATCATGCACCTTCCCCGAGCCGAGCAATCTATCCAGCTCCAAAAAGCCACCACGTGGCTTACACCCGGCGGGTATCTGTTGGCGAATTTCGGGGCTGGAGAGATGGAAGGTGGAGTCAACGAGCGCTGGCTTGGGGAGGAGAATGGATGGATGTTTTGGAGTGGATGGGGGGTTGAGGGTACGAAGAAAATGGTTGAAGATGCGGGATTGGAGATTTTGGTGGACGAGGTCAAACTGGAGAAGGAGGATGAAGTGGATAAGGAGAGGAGTGTTGAGTTTTTCTGGGTATTGGCAAGGAAGCCGATCTCTGGTGAGTAGAGCGAAAGTAGGAGGTAGGTGGTAAAGACGGCGCGTTTGGGTATTCGATGAAATAAGGCGGGAAAAGAGGAGGAGAATACATATGTCGGCTTTCCAATGCCATTTTGATGAACTCACTTAGTCGCGGACAGGATAGCTCCACGACACAAAAGCTCAAACCACGCTTCGCAAACTCTACACAGACCTACGAGGGTGATATCGCCTCTCAAGATGCGTAGTTATAATTAGGTGTATTACTAATGTACCCCAAAATTCCAAGGGGCGAAATGCAGGTCTCACAAAACCCAATCAGTTGAGCCAAAAGCCCAGTACATTCAGCCCCAAAATGTGGCTTTGAGCATCAACAGGACCTCCGTTTCAGAATCCGAAGCTTCTCATTTCAATTGGCCATCTTAATGCCCAGTTAAGTGTTTAGCGCGGCTGGAGAGCGTCAGCATTGGTTTTGAGCAAGTGGCCTGGCTTTCTCGAAACAGACTCCGATTCTCCTTGAGGCTCTGGCGCTACGATTCTCTTGGGGCATCATGTTATTACGGCCGACTGATCTTCAGTCTGAGGAGCCTCATTCTTGCATAAGCTCGTATCCCAAATTTGAATTTGAGGTTGAGGGCGGCGGCGACAATGGTGATGGGTCCAGAGGAGGTCGATCGATGAGACGCAGATGACGATATAAGGCCTCGTTCTCCACCCCTAGGGAAAGCATCATAACTTCCAACAATTCTCGTCCTCTTCATTTCTTAGATAATTGCTGCCCTTTTTCTACTTTCGACATGTCCTCAACGCTCTTTTTGACCGTTTCTTTCCTTGCACTGACTTCGACTGTCCGAAGCACTCCCCTCCCTCAATCCACTGCAAACCCAGGCCTCCCCGACAAAGCCTCCATCTGCGCAGTGACCTACGATGACCCAGCTCAAGCGTGGGTTCAAAGTGGTGCCTCCCATTTCCTCGATAACTGGCTCCTCACAAATGGAGAAACCAACTGGGTGAACCGCATGGATCAAATGACGACGAACGGCGGCAAACAGGGAACTTCGAACCTCAACTGCGTCGACTTCGCCGCCGGGAACTGTCCCTACCCAACTAGTGGAATTTGCGAAAAATTCACCCCGCCTTCTCTCTACCACGTCCGTAACGCAATCTCCACCGCCTACAATATGTTCAAGGGGCTTCACGAAGCACTCCAGAATGTTGTCATCAAGGAGATACTAAATGTCGATACAATTGTTGCCGACTTTGGGCCTCCGAAAGAAGGCGATGCGATTTTGGGTGCGCTCAACGCGGCATTAGGCATCGGCGCGGGTCTGACAGCTGCTGTGCCTGAGATCTCTGGCCCCCTCAGTGTCCTCTCAAGTGCTTTCGGAATGCTTGCTTCTACTGGTGCCGAACCTATTGACCCTACCATCCCCATTGAGCAACAACTTGCAGCAGCGTTTGATGCTTCTGAAAGCAGTCTTCAAGCGGTAAGTAGGTTGGTCTTCGGGGGCGATGGAGATACATCCAAGTTGCCTGGAACAGGAGGTACTGGTCCGAATGGCGAGAACTCGAACATCGCCAAGTTCTTCGCGAATGGAAAGTTCTTGGTCAAGGTCTCTGAGAAAGGAGCCGTGGACGCGCTGATCACCCCGGTCGTTGAGAACGGCGCTAGGATGCTGCGGCAGCGGCTCGTGAGCACTGCGCTGAAGTCGCAGGGCTATTATGTCTTTGTCGACGTAAGTCTTCGGCCTCCGCGAGTGTTTCGAGTATTGGTGAACGTAGTACTGACCACTCGCACAGCAAGATCGCACTCAAGATGACTGCAACGGCATCACCGGTTCCCGCTGGATCGAAAACCAATGTTTCACCATCGAACATTTCCGCCTCAGTGCCTCGTCTCCACAGGGGATCCGGGGTACCACGAAAGTCATCTCGAAAGACATTGTCTTGAAGTTCGACGATCCCAACGCAGGATATAACATCAATGTCGAACAGTTCTATCGCAACGCAGATGCCTGCCAAAACGCCCATCCCGGTTTCGACGGCAACATTGATCCAAACGGTATTCCCACTGACGGAAGCTATCCGCAATGCTTCTTCAATATCCCAGTTGTTAAGGCAAAAGCCACGCCGTGCTTGGCGGATAATCTAGGTGCTCTGCCGGGGAATCTGGAATTTAGCGAGGGCGCATGTGAGGTGCCCATGGATTGTCCGGGTCACCCTAGGGACTGTATTTAGAGAGTATGGTGAATGTTGGTGGTATAGAGGTGGCGGAGATTGTTCGATGCGATGATCATTGCTAATTCATTTGTATTAGTAAGACCTATGATATTCAAAACTGGATCATATGTTTTTGGCGCGAAGGGTATCTTCTATTCTAATAGTGCCCGGGAGGTGTTCTAATACCTCTTCAAACCTGGAAGGCAACGCCTTCCTTCTTTACCATGTTCTTTCCACCACCTGCAAAACCCGTTCCTTCACTTCGAATCTCAACTAATCCAGGTTTCGGACCAGCATCCTTATCTTTCTTGTGCTTTTTGCTATCTTTATCCTTTTTCTTCTTGTCCGGAACAGTGGTAAGATCGGCGTCGCAAATGTAGCAGTGCACCGTTTCCGGATCAGGAGCATCGTCGTGTGCATCTCGGTGATGTCGATGTTCTGGTTTCATGAACTTTTCGGCGCAAGGCTTGCAAACGACGTGTCCACAAGGTATGGCTACCATGGCTTTCGTTGCGTTTGATAGTGCCTTTCGGCAACTGGGACATGTGCGCACCGACTTCCCCGTCTCTGCCGACTTCTCCTCTGTGAAATTCACACCCGTGAGATTCTTGAGCGACAGCATATGAGGCTTCTCCGGATCGCTTGAGGGGCATGTAGGGTTGCGCTTCACGTTCTCTGACGTTTTGTAGTTCGAATCCGGGGTCTCGCTTGGCACCCAGAAGCTCGGGAGGTGGCCCTTTGCAGCTTTCTTCTCCTCCGTGATCGCCAGCTTTGCCCGACTCCGTTCCTCGTTTGCGATCCGAAGCAGTTCCTCCTCGTCAATCTCGAACTTCCGTTTCGCCCCCCTTCCCTCGCCCGGGTTGGCCTCTTCCTCCCGCTCAACGATGACCTTGCCCCCTTGTCTGCCAACAACCTTTCCTCCTGCCCCGATTTTCACCTCCAGACCCATCTGAACAGCCTCAAAGTCCTGCACGGCGCGCTGTCTCGCCTCATCGTCGTCTCTCGCTTTCTGGTCCTCCTCATCTTCCCTCCGCCGCTCCGCTATCTTCTCTAGCCGCTTGATCTCCTTCCTTTGTGCGAGTAGATTGGTCATGGCGCATTCTCTGCAGAACAGGTCACCTGAAGGGCAACAGACGGGGTCTTCGGCGGGGAGGAGGCATAGCTGGCAGGAGCCAAATGGAAGGAAGGAATCGCGGGTTAGTCGGGTAGACTGCGTGCCCCATGAGTTTTTGAGGGATTGGCGCTCGAAGGACGTGAAGACTCGACCGTCGTTAGACATGGGGACAGATATAATAGT